ATGTAGAATATGGTCATGCAGAATATGTGCTTTATATGTACTAATAAACAGCCAATATGTTAATAATAGACATGCTGATAATCAAGTTGATTACAAAAGTAATTTTTTTTTTTTGATAACAAAGTTGAAGGGTTAGTTCACCCAAAAATGAAAATTCTGTCATTAATTTCTCACCCTCATGTCGTTCCAAACCCGTAAGACCTCCGTTCATCTTCGGAACACAAATTAAGATATTTTTGATGAATTCTGAGAGCTCTCTGACCCTCCCATACAGCAATGTAATTACCACGATCAAGGTCCAGAAATGTAGCAAGGAGATCGGTAAAATAATCCATGTGACATCAGGGGTTCAACCGTAATTTTACAAAGCTACGAGAATACTTTTTGTATGCAAAGAAAACAAAAATAATGACTGTAACACAGTCCATAGTCACGGGAAGAAGGAGGCGGGAACCGGCGAACATTTAAGATTTTAATAATAAAATAAACAAACACAAAACGAAAGTAAAGCGGCAGCCCCTCGCGGACGACTGCAGCATTTACTCCACCGGCCTCGCTTCGTTCCCACGGCTCTCGGCCCCGCCCCTCTCGTCACAACGACTATCTTTTTAACTATCCCTTTAATAGTGAGAATTGGTCCCTAAAGTGTTACAAAGTTTATTTAAATTTTATTTTGTAAGTATTTCAGTTTCCGAAGACATTTTTTAATAGTTTTAGTTAACTGAACAGACACAAACATTATAATGATCATAATTCTATTTAATAATTGTGTTAATAATGGAGTTATCAAATATTATATAAAATGTCTAAAACAATATAATGTATATTAATATCATATTATGAACGATAATAAATCTTTGGTTGGTCCATTGATTAGTCTGTGTAAGTGAACAGTCATAGATGATGTTTCCACACTGAATTTACCATGATAAAGTACAGTATGATTAAACTTGCGACAAGCAACATTGTCCCAAACCCTATGATGAGGGACACATCATTTCCTATTATGGGGATGGTTTCCATGGTACTTTTTGACAGTTAATCAATTACAAAATTAGTATGATCCTTCATGAAAGGTATTTAACTGAAAGATAATCATAATATCAGGATTTAAATTGTCTTTGGTGTACAGTAGCTGATATATTTTTTGTAACAGTGTCTTAGTATGCGCTGACAGACGAGAAGGGAGATGAGCTATAGGTCAGATCCAAGCTGTAATTATTTCCCACTTCATTAGGTCCAAGTAAACCGTCATACTCTGTGCTGCAATTAGCTCAATGCCCTTGAGTCTAGAAATTGTCTTAGGATGAGGGCTAACATGATGGGCAGTAACCCTAAAGGCAGCTACTGACTTCAGAGCTGCTTCATATGAATTCATCATGGTCACATGTCCTGACCATCCAGCATAAGTACTGCTAATCTTGTGAATTTTACTGTTTACTATTATGATATCACATCACATAGAGGTAATCGTGTTATATAAAATCATTATTTCAGTACTTAAACTTACTTCACGTTTAAAGTTATTTAAACTTATTCAGTTTTTCATCTAATAGTTATTTTTTATTTCATCTTTATTTCTTTATTTAAAAATGTTTTTATTGTTATAGCTAAACTGCTTTAGCAGCAGTGTTGGGCTCTACAAATAGCTAAGCAATTAGTTGAACTACATTTCTTAGTATCAAGATGGTAGCATCGCTTAATATCAGTATCAAAGCTATATTTTTAAGTAGCAAGGTAGCACTGTTACATTTTCCCTATCAATAATTGAACAATCAAGTCATGTTTCAGAAAGTTTGCTCACACACCGAATTGTTTGAAGCAGTTTCTCATTTATTAAGACAGTAAAAGGACCATTTTAAAACACAGAGGACAAAAAGAGCACTGGATGAAGCAGAATATTTACCTGCAATCAGTTGGAGCCAAACCTGCAAATGCATCCTATCGTTTGCCAGCGATTAACAAGCTCTTTATTAAGTTCAGCACCTGCAGCGTATGAATGCCTCCTCACTAGTGCAGATAAAGACATTTTCCCACCAAAAGAGTTTCGAAACAGGTGCACAAAAACACCAACAGTATTAGAAATTACCTTGACATTTTTAAAAGGACATTTTGAGATATTTCAATTTATAGCACTGTTTCATGTAAATAAGTCTCAACTGAGTTTTATATTGTTTTCTACAACAACACATCAGATTACAGCATTCATTTTTTGAATTTTTAGATTTTGAATACTGTTTATAAAAAATATGTTGTATCTTAAAAGTTTGAAACAGCTATGTCATGTAGCTTGTAGTGTAAAGGTGCGGTCACATTTCGGTGAAATTTGTTGACAAGAAAATGTAAATTATCTATTGTCATATAGCATAACGTTGTATGAAGCACCGCTCACACAACTCACTTTTAAACCAAGCGGCTTTATGTTAGCATTGTTGCGGAGTAACCACTTACATGTAACGGAATTAATCTGTTACAGCTAATTACAATGTGTAATTAAATTACAGTTACTTATGAAAATGTTAATGATTACAAAGGGGGCTACATCTGAATATGTTCACACATATACAGATTAGACTTTCCCAAATTGCATTGACTCTAAAATATGAGACACCAATGTTTCAGGAGTTTAGGACACAGAATAGGACACGTTTATTTAATAACTGTTTTATTTCAATTTGGTTTTATGTATATGCTTTATTTTTTAAGATTAATTGTTTTTTCCAAGGCATTGTTAGATGCCAGTGTTTTCTGTCATAACTATGCAAAGATTTGATTTCAAAAACAGGATCATAGCTATTAAACTATATCTTATTATTTTAAATCTGTATTTAACCTCAGAATGACCTCAAAGTAAAAATAGGTCCTAAAGTCTGATTTTGTGGTGGTTGAACTTTAAAATTAAATTATTATAATCTCAAGTACTAAAGTATTTTGAAAGTCTGTAGGTAGTGTTGAGTACTATTGTAAGGTTAACCCTGTTTCAAAGTGATTAACAGTTGAAAGCATTCGTTAGAAATTTAGAAAAGTAATCAAAAAGTAATCGAATGTTATCCGTTACATTACTTTAATAAAGTAATTGAAATAGTTACACTACATTTTAAATAGGGTAACTTGTAATCTGTAACCTGTTACATTTCCAAAGTCACCTTCCCAACACTGTGTTAGTCAGCATGATGATTTTGTGTGAAAAACTTGAACTCGTTGCAAAATCTGCATGAGGAAATCTTTCGCCCTCAAGCGAAATTCCCAATTGCATAGATTCCTACTGAAATTACAGTATTTTGGCCATGGAAATTTTGCCGAACAACAGTAAATGTGACCAAACTCAACCCAATCTCAAGGGAAATCAACTATTTTGTGAGGTGGTAATTTCACATTGAGTCTTACAATGTAAATAATACGAAAATGTTCTGTATGTTCAGCTCATAAAAAAAAAAATACCCACCAATTCACCAAATAGTCAATAGTTATGAATTGCCATGAGATCTTGAGATTCAAATACCTTTTAAACCTTTACAACACCAGCTTGGAGACCAATTTAAACTACCTTGGACTAGCCAAGCTAACAGTAGTCTAGCTCATGTCATCGATAAATCAATAAAAGTGGCAAACCCCCAATAAAAAGCATTTAATTTTCACATGGTGAACAAACTGTCATGCAACCCTGTGTTTTATGTCCTGTTGTGATGTTTGAACGTCACACACATGGCTCAGAATGTGCCCAACACACGCTGTATTAAGCATGACTGCTAGGTGTGCACTCAAAAGACCTTTTCTCCGACAATAAATGAATGTGAAATTTGTCTGGAGGTGACGGTATCATTCCTCGTGACCCTCCTCCCTCTCTTGGTGACACTGTGTTATTATGAGCAGGCCGGGATGGAGAGAGCTCGCTTGTTATGGCTGACATGTCACTCTTTCGGCCGTTCCCAGGTGAGGCGACTGTCGAGGAGTTATACGACAGGATGTTCACTGTCACCAGCCGGCTCAGGCTCACCGTCTCTAAGGAGGACGATGGAGTGGCCGTCATCTGCATCATTGACCATCCAGCCGTGAAGGACTTCCAAGCCCAGAAATACCTGGAAGTGCAGTGTGAGTTATCTCAAGATGAGGAGAAAACTTTCAGCTGTAAAATAGCTTCGGTTTAATCTTCCCACCTGCATGCAGAGGTCAATTTGACTGACGTTGTAATGAACTAAAGAACCTTTTGTTACACAATTAGACCGTTTATGAGGAAATGAACAGGAGTGAGGCCTAGACAAGAATAGTTCACCCAAAAATGAAATTATTCACCTTAATGTCACACTTGTTTTGTTTGTGGAACACAAAAGGAATGATTTTAAGCATCTTCAAGCAGCAATTTGATTGACGTTGAACCTTTCATTCCACAGTTAGACCGTTTATCGAGAAATTAACACGAGTGAAGCCTAGATATTTGCTTATAGGAATAGACTTTAGTCAGGTTAGATGCTATATTGAATTTAACACAGATGAAAACGAGGCTGTGAGGGATAGACTTACAGTCTTTACAATAGCACACTATATTAAAGGTATAGTTCACCCAGAAATGAAAATTCTGTCATTAATTACTCATTCCAAACCTGTAAGACCTTTGTTCATCTTCAGAACACAAATTAAGATTTTTTGATGAAATCCGAGAGCTTTCTGACCCTGCATAGACAGCAACGCATCTGCGCAACATTCAAGGCACAGAAGGTAGTGAGGACATCGTTAAAATAGTCTACTGTATGCAGTGTGGGGGAGTAACTAGTTACATGTAACGGAATTACGTAATTTAATTACATAATAAAAGTAATTGTAATCAGTTACAGTTACTGAGAATGATTTTGTGGTGGCTGTGCTTCAAAGGGGACATTGATCGTCCACAAGTTGGTATGATTCTTTAGGGCCTTCATGAACGGTCTGCAACATACTTTGGTTAAAATTCCTCAGTGGTCGTGTAAAACAACACCCTTTTTACCTTGCTGTGTTCACAGCGACTCATTTTGGGTTATGTCATTTTTCAGTGAGCCGATTCTTTTCAATGAACCGTTTCTTTCAGACTGAACAATTTGTTCATGAATCATTTTGACTCAGTGATCCGGTCAGTGTTCACAGCTCACTGGAGTGGATGATTATGTGAATAAGAGGCTAAATATTTCCCAGATATTACGTGGATTCAGAAGATGTGGAATATAGTCCATGAATCATATGGATTGTTTTAATGGTGCTTTTTTAATGCTTATGTGTCAATGGTCACTATAAATTGGAGAAGATCCATTTTTAGTTGCTCTACAGAGGAAATTCTGGTGAAATTCACATGGTTTTTAGTCGAAAGAAATCAAGTGAGTTAATAATGGCGGAAATTCAATTTTGGAGTGAACTATTCCTTTTAACCCGGCCGAGGTCTAGGCATTTGCTTTAATTAAAACAGACCCTTTCTTGTTATGCGTAAGCATGAAATGCTGTCCGCCAAATAATGCATTGATTAAGAGCGTTTGCCGCATGCTTTTTTTGTGGCACGGGAAGTCCTGGAAAGGTTAACCTACCCTTTTGTAATCTTGGCAGAATATTAATTTATTCAGATAGCTGACTGCTCAGGGTGACCTTTGAGAAGAAAAGGCAGGAGGGATCAGCTCAACTGTAACAGCTTGACATTTTGACTAACATAGATAAAAGAGAAGAAGAAAAAACATTTTACAGTACTGTTAAATTGACTGTTTAAATTCATAGCAGTGTCATCCTTCCTCACACGCTTTACCCAGGCTATAAAAATCACGTACTGCCATGTTCGCACTCTTTTAGGCTCACTGGGTTGACTTAATATAGTGCAGCATGAAGAGTGAAGCCCAGAAGAGCAGCTGAGATCTGCTGCCTTCATTATACAGGTCTTTGTATTAAGCATGAATGCATAATACACATGAACGTAAATGTGAATGCACAAATGATGTCCAAACCTGTTGGGGATGTTTTCTAATCAGACTGAGAGGCAGGTATGTGGCCTTAGAATGATAATTAGATAGATACAATAAGGGTACCGAGCTGAATCAACGTACTGCAGTGCAACTAGAAATGAGTTTGTGTTTGTGTCTTTGTTGTGTCCAATGCACAGATAAACCAGAAGTGCAGATTGTGGTGGAATTCCCTGAGGGTTTGACCAGAGAAGGGGAAAATCTCGAGCTGACATGCAAAGCTAAAGGAAAACCGCAGTGAGTCCAATGCTGGGCCCTCAGGCCACTTTACTCATTTCATATGAATTTGTTTGGTTGCTTTATCATGCAGATAATAATAGATGATAACAAGAATAGCTCGGATAGACAGACAGGTATGCAAATATGTACATGGTTTGGTGTTGATATTTCATACTTATTTTGTATTTGTTTTGTTGTTTTGATAGACACACACACACAATAGATACACAGATAGATAGATAGATAGATAGATAGATAGATAGATAGATAGAATACTAAGATTATAGTATATTTAGATACTGGAAAAGTTAATTCAGTTTATAATTAAATTTAATCCAGTAGTAAAAAAAAAGAATAGAAATCAGCCCATATGTGAACTAAAACAAGACTTTGCAGCTGAGCTGTGATAGCATCATGTTCGTTTGTTTGCACAGGTGTTGATTTTACAGCAGTGCTAAAGTATTCCTGAATAACACGCATTATTCTCTCCTCTCTGCCTCTGTCTGAGCATTTTCACACTGAGCACTAAATGATTACTCTGATGTTTTACAGCCCTCATCAAATTAACTGGCTCAAAGTGGATGATGATTTCCCCTCCCACGCCGTGATTACTGGCTCTGATCTCTTCATCGAAAACCTTAACAAGTCCTACAACGGAACGTACCGCTGTGTGGCATCTAACTTAGTGGGAGAAGCCTATGATGATTACATCCTTTATGTATATGGTATGTACTTGAACTTAATCTGCATCTGTAAACAACAATCCATAAGAGCAGAGTTTCCAAGACAGTTAAATCTATAGTCTTGGACAAAATGACACTGTGAATGGATGGTTTTCAATATCAGTCTAAGTCTTGGCTTAATCTGTGTCTGGACAACCAGCCCTTGATGTCTACATGTAATCAGCTGCGTAATGTTGTTGTGACTTAAGGGTTTCAAGTTCCACATGCATTTGCTTTTCAAAGAAGCTTGTTGTTTTGTTCAAGACTTGCTCAAGCTTTTAACCCTCTATTGCACAATGTTGCCTCTGGGTTTTCTCCATTTGATGCTAATAAAATGGGTAATAATGAAGGGATGATTTTTTGGTCACACAACATATTTTTCTGGCATAATGCACTATGTAGAGGGTGCACATTTTTGCTTTGGAAAGCTTCATTACAGCATTTTTATAGATTTTTTTTTTCCATCCTTCAAAAATATGATTCATATTTCTTATTGAGTAGGCTTTATTTTAAAACATTTAGAAGCACATAAATTATTTGTATGTTTTGAGGAATTGCTTAAATATGTTTATTGCCCCGAAGCAACTGCGACAGTGGCATGTATATGAATGTAGTGGATATGGATCCACTATAATGCAGTTATTATTTTAGTTATTTAATATCAGCCTTTTTAGCATTTAATTTTTTAATGCAATAATATAGTTTAATAGCTTTGTTCTTTACTATTTCCAACATTTTTAGGACTGTGACATCTGTTTAAAAAATGGAAATAATAAAAGAAAAGTCTCTCAGAAATATTTAAATGAATAAAAACCTGTCTTTGAATAATTTCTTTTAAGTGTTGCACAGAATACCTAAAAGGAAATTGCCCTCATCCCAAAATTATTATTATTATTTTTTTTTTTTTTGTGTGTTTGATTTTACTAATGAGGTCCATTTTATGCAAGACAATTGAATCAGAAATGTCTTTTTCAACATTGTTTTCAATAAGCATGCAATATAGGGTTAATTGTTTTACTGAATATGCTTCACCTGAGAGTTTTTCATAGTACTAGACTTATTAACACAGGAAGTGAATTGTGTTTGGCGCATGTTTAATCCTTAACAAGGGCTGACAGCTGGATTTTTCAAAGCCCAGGCAATAATTGCTATGACAGTGGCACTTGAAGCCTGGGATTTAACAAAGCTTTGCTTTGCTATAGAAGAATTGAAGTGTTGTTATTGTTTAAAGCAGGTTGTGTTCGGGAGCGCTAACGGCCCGCCAGCTGCAGCTATTACAGGCTGTCCTGTCGAGCCCAAGACATTAGCCTGTAGAGATGGAAGAGGGTGGCTCGTCATTGAGGCGTTTGGCACCGCAGTTATTAGCCTCTGATAATGCTGATATCAGAGGCAGGTGTTTGGGAATGATGTCATCAGCATCCCATCTGCAGATGGGAGAGTTTGTGTGCATCACAGGCCTGGAAGCGGTTCCACTTCCAGCTTAGTTCAATGTCTGTCACCTCTACCTGAGCGAGCACCACCTGCTGATTACTCCACTTCCTCTCATTTCACAGGCTTGAGGAGTTTGGGTCTATTTGCGCCGAGTGGGCGTCTCGGAAAAAGAGGAGATTTATTGCCGTCTGGCTTGGTATAAGTGGCGGTTTTTAGTGATAATCTCCCAAGCATTGTGTAATATGTGAATGAGGACTTTGCAAATTATTTTCAGCCATAAAAAGCCTTATTATAATGGAAATGATATGCATTTGTAGTGTTACCCTGAGAGTTGCTTTTTCTCTTTAGTACGGCTCAAATCGCTCACGCTTCGCAGTAAATAAAATCGTTGTCTTGTGGTGCATTTCTAAATCAATTTACACTGGCAATTGTCGAGCATGCCCTACCTCAGAGGACTAAAACAAGTGGAAAAACCTCTTGTAGCTTGATAATCCTGGGTACACTATACTTCTCCAGCCTGTCAGAGTTACTTTTAATGCTGCTCCTCGGGGGATGGCAGCTTTGCTTTTGCTACAGAGCATTTCCTTTTACTGCCACAGTAAAGCAGTGACTTGTGTTGAGCAAATGCTTACGGCTCCTCTGTCGTTTTGTCGTTTGTTTTTTCATGAAGCGTTGAACAGGAAGCTTGGTTGTAGCAGACACTCATTTCCTAAAATCCTAATACTGGGCATGCCAAGACAATGGCGGCAGTGTAACAGTTTCTCCATTTACACCATTACTGCATTCATGGCCTTCACGAAGGGGACTGTTTTGATGTCAGATCAAATGTTTTTGTAGGCTAATGTGAATTTGCAATGGGACAGATACATGTCTCAACCTGATAAGCTTGTAGCGGAGATGCTGAGAGTGAAAACCCATCCTGTGTTACCGAAGCCTCCGGCACAGATAGTACTCAGTTAATTTGCTCGAAAAAAGGCTTTATTTGTTTAGGAACTTGGAATTGGAATTGGATGGAAACAACAAATGTAATAATAATAACAACAATAACAATAATTATATAGAAAAGCTGATTAGCTGAAAAGAAAACTTTTTCTCCAATACAAAACTCTACAAAAAGACCTGTTTTAAAAGTTACACAAGTACACTGTAAAACAAATTCCGTAAAATTTACAGTAAAAAACCGGCAGCTGTGGTTGCCGGAATTTTACCGTAAAAAATACGGCAGCAACGTTTTAGGTTTTACCAATTCTAATAATCTAATCTAATAACTGGTTGTGCCACCCTTTGCAGCGATAACTGGCAATGAGTCTTTCACATCGCTGTGGAGGAATTTTGACTCACTCTTCTTTGCAGAATATTTAAGTTCGGACTTTGACTTAGCCACCCCAAAACCTTAATTAAATTTTTATTGAGCCATTCAGAGGTGGACTTGCTGGTGTGTTTGGGATCATTTTTTGTCACATCAGTCCACAGAATATTTGCCCAAAATTCATGGGGATAATCAAGATATTTTTTGGCAAATTTGAGAGGAGCCTTTAATAATTGTGTTCTTTTTGGTCAGCAGTGGCTTTTGCCTTGGACCTCTCTCATGGATGCCGTTTTTACCCAGTCTCTTTCTTATTGTTTAATCATGAACACTGACCTTAATTGAGGCATGTGAGGCCTGCAGTTCTTTAGATGTTGTTCTGGGTTCTTTTAGGAACTCCTGGATGAGTCGTCGTTGTGCTCTTGGAGTAATTTTGGTTGGCCGGCCACTCACTGTTCCAAGTTTTCTCCATTTGTGGATAAGTCCCAAAGCCTTAGAAATGGCTTTATAACCCTTTCCAGACTGATACATGTCAACTCTTTTGTTTCTCATCTGTTCTTGAATTTCTTTATATATATATATATATATATATATATATACTAATATTTGAAAATGTCATTTATTCCTGTGATGGCAAAGCAAAATTTTCAGCATCATTATGTCACATAATCCTTCAGAAATCATTCTAATATAATAATATATGCTTAATATTTTTTTGGAAACCGTAATACATTTTTTCCAGGACCCTTTAATGAAAAGAAAGTTCAAAAGAACAGTATTTAGTTGAAATAGAAATGTTTTGTAACATTATTCATTTCTTTAATGCCATTTTTGATCAATTTAATGCATCCTTGCTCAATTAAAGTCATAATTTATTTAAAAAAATCATACTGACCCCATACTTTTGCAGAGTCATCTATATAAACTGAACAAAATGAAACAGTTATCTTAAAGAGCTATTTCTACCTGCTCTGACCTTTTAAAAATGAGTTTCATGGGTGTAACCTAATGCAGCAGGTTGATTTCACATTTAATAGTATTTTTGACATGAATAAAACCAGTTAATTTACCACATCTAGCACTTTTTAGGTTACATGATAAATCAGTTTTTACAGTGTATATGCTTTGTATTTGCATTTGTAATGATACCAATGTTGTTTGTTGCACTAATGCATCATCATGATTATCCTTAAATTGTTCTATTTTCTCCTGTTCCATTTTATATCCCTTTGTTCCTTTCTCTAGTCCAAATTCAGAAAAAGGAAAATCTAGGGCTGCAAATCTAGTTTAAAAGCTTTGTGATATACAACTAAAGTCAACTCCAGTTCAAGAAAAGGACGGAAGTAATATCTTCTCTTTGGTAAATGTGATGTAACTGTGCTGCTGCAGGGGATGTCTATGCCATGACTTTATAAGTATTTTTCGGGGTGAAGAGATACAGGGTTAAAATCCAACTTGATCCCGGTTCTAGTGGTGGTGGGTGGCTCAGTCCGGAAACATCTGCACCGTGAATTGGAAGACCAAGGCTTAAGTCCTTCTAAAGACACTTTTGCTAGCTATTGTGGCCTTGAGCTAGACACATTTAACCTCCTTTCACTGCAAGGGCACCCTATGACTGCCCTTCATCTCTGTTTGTGATCACAGATATACAGTAAAAAAAAAAAAAGTGTGCATAGTTGGTGCAGTTAACATTTTTAACGTTGAAAGCAACTTAAAGAAATGTTCGCCTGCACATTCCCAACTAAATGGACCTGAAAGCTTTTATGGACATTGCCGAATATTCCTCTACAGAGACCTAGCAATACCTTCTGCCAGTCCTAAAACACTATAGATCACTGGAAGTCCATTTTTTTCAGTTCTTTAAACTAGGTCACTTACATCTTTTCAGATAAGCATTTAACTGGAAATGGACTTTTCCCTGTCTAGCTATAGCAAAGTACTTTCTCTAGTAAATGTTCAGTTCACTTCGTGGTCCTTTTCCTTCAGAAAGATACAGGCTAGTTGTAATGGTTTTCCAGGTAGGTGATTTTGCCCGCAGGATTGTTCCACTGACAGTAAAACCTGCTGATCAGGTACTTCTTTAATGCAATTCATGTACGTTTATCTGCGTTTATCATTTATCATCATAATGAAGTTGTTTAAATTATCTGGAGATTTGGCAGTTGGGAATATGTGACACTGAAGGAAACGGCACGTCATTTTAAATGCTCAAGGTCTGTAGCCTTGACATTGGATTCATGCTCCATTCTTTTGTATCATTCTGTAT